CAATGACAATTTGTTCTCATTTTTCAGGTACTTACCCCACTAATCTTATTCAACAAATTAACTTGGATAAACGAACGATTCAATTTTTTTTGTCTTTTACAAAATGAGACAATAAATCAGCAACGAAAACCGAATATCGATTAATACCATAAATCAGTGTCAGAAAATTGTCCAAGTGCAATGACAATTTGTTCTTATTTTTCTGGTACTTACCCCTCTGATTTTATTCAAAAAATTAACTCGGATAAACGAACGATTCGTATCAATTTTTTTTGTCTTATAAAACAATGACAAAATAAATCAGTACCGAAAATCGAAGACCGTTCAATATCTAATTTTTTCATCAAATTAACGCGGATAAATGAACAATTTGTATCAATCCTTTTTTCTTTTATAGAGAAATCAAAGACTAAATCAGTATCGAAAACCGGATATTGATCAATACCATAAATCAGCGTTAGAAAATTGTCTAAGTGCAATGACAAGTTGTTTTCATCTTGCAGGTACTTACCCCACTAATTTACTCAACAAATTAACTCGGATAAAAGACCGATTCGTATCAATTTTTATTCTCTTATAAAGAAATTAGAGAATCAGTCAGTACCGAAAATTGAAGACCGATCAATATTTAATTTATTCATCAAATTAACGCGGATAAATGAACGATTCGTATGAATTTTATTTTCTTATAGAGAAATGAAAAAGTAAATAAGTACCGAAAATCGAACATCGATTAATACCATAAATCAGTGTCAAAAAATTATCCAAGTGCAATGACAATTTGTTATCATTTTTCAGGTACTTACCCCACTAATCTTATTCAACAAATTAACTCGGATAAACGAACGATTCGTATCAATTTTTTTTGTCTTTTACAAAATGAGACAATAAATCAGCAGCGAAAACCGAATATCGATTAATACCATAAATCAATGCCAAGAAAATTGTCCAAGTGCAATGACAATTTGTTCTTATTTTTCTGGTACTTACCCCTCTGATTTTATTCAAAAAATTAACTCGGATAAACGAACGATTCGTATCAATTTTTTTTGTCTTATAAAACAATGACAAAATAAATCAGTACCGAAAATCGAAGACCGTTCAATATCTAATTTTTTCATCAAATTAACGCGGATAAATGAACAATTTGTATCAATCCTTTTTTCTTTTATAGAGAAATCAAAGACTAAATCAGTATCGAAAACCGGATATTGATCAATACCATAAATCAGCGTTAGAAAATTGTCTAAGTGCAATGACAAGTTGTTTTCATCTTGCAGGTACTTACCCCACTAATTTACTCAACAAATTAACTCGGATAAAAGACCGATTCGTATCAATTTTTATTCTCTTATAAAGAAATTAGAGAATCAGTCAGTACCGAAAATTGAAGACCGATCAATATTTAATTTATTCATCAAATTAACGCGGATAAATGAACGATTCGTATGAATTTTATTTTCTTATAGAAAAATGAAAGAGTAAATAAGTATCGAAAATCGAACATCGATTAATACCATAAATCAGTATCAAAAAATTATCCAAGTGCAATGACAATTTGTTATCATTTTTCAGGTACTTACCCCACTAATCTTATTCAACAAATTAACTCGGATAAACGAACGATTCGTATCAATTTTTTTTGTCTTTTACAAAATGAGACAAAAATCAGCAGCGAAAACCGAATATCGATTAATACCATAAATCAATGCCAAGAAAATTGTCCAAGTGCAAAGTTGTTTTCATCTTGCGGGTACTTACCCCACTAATTTACTCAACAAATTAAGTCGGATAAAAGAACGATTCGTATCAATCTTTATTCTCTTATAAAGAAATTAGAGAATCAGTCAGTACCGAAAATTGAAGACCGATCAATATTTAATTTATTTCTCAAATTAACGCGGATAAATGAACGATTCGTATGAATTTTTTTTCTTAAAGAGAAATGAAAGAGTAAATCGGTACTGAAAATCGAATATCGATCAATACCGTAAATCAGTGTCAGAAAATTGTCCAAGTGCAATGACAATTAGTTCTCATTTTTCAGGTACCTACCCCTCTAATCTTATTCAACAAATTAACTCAGATAAACGAACGATTCGTATCAATTTTTTTGTCTTATAAAAAAATGAGAAAATAAATTAGTACTGAAAACCGAAGACTGATCAATATCATAAATCAATGTCAAAAAAATTGTCCAAGTGCAATGACAAGTTGTTTTCATCTCGCAGGTACTTACCCCACTAATTTACTCAACAAATTAAGTCGGATAAAAGAACGATTCCTATCAATTTTTATTGTCTTATAAAGAAATTAGAGAATCAGTCATTACCGAAAATTGAAGACCGATCAATATTTAATTTATTCGTCAAATTAACGCGGATAAATAAACGATTCGTTTGAATTTTTTTTCTTATAGAGAAATGAAAGAGTAAATCAGTACCGAAAATCGAATATCGATCAATACCGTAAATCAGTGTCAGAAAATTGTCCAAGTACAATGACAATTTGTTCTCATTTTTCAGGTATTTATCCCTCAAATTTACTCAAAAAATTTACTCGAATAAACGAATGATTCGTATCAATTTTTCTTGTCTTATAAAGAAATGAGAGAATAAATCAGTATCGAAAATTGAAGACCGATCAATATTTAATTTATTGATCAAATTAACGCGGTTAAATGAACGAGTCGTATCATTTTTTTTTCTTGTAGAGAAATGAAAGAGTAAATCAGTACCGAAAATCGAATATCGATCAATACCAAAAATCAGTGTCAGAAGATTGTCCAAGTGCAATGACAATTCGTTCTCGTTTTTCAGGTTTGATAAAAAAAGTCTTTCCCGAGTCGAAATATTAATTCTACATTGATCCTGCAAATTGCATCCAATTTGAAAAATCAATGCAGAATATCTAGATGCGCAATAGTGAACAAGCTTTGTCCTACCTGAACGTTACATCTGGCTACTCTCGCAGTCTCGCCCATGATGAGTCTTCAACAGCGACTTATTCCGCAGTTATTTAATACTCGTATATCTCGATAATGTATATGTACTTAATCCTTATATTCTTAATTTAAATGAGCAATTTTTGTTGATTTTGATTATATATTCGCTTAACAGCGCAAGAAAGAGAACAAAGATAAAAACGTAAATAGAACTGCCTTTGTTAGAACTGCGCGTGAGATAAATATATAAGGATTAAATAATCATATAAGAATTAGAGGAAATGGGGGATGAAAAACACTTTTTATTCTCATCATTCTTAAAGTTCTTTTTTCCTTTTTTCTTCTCTTTTTTTTTCTTTTCTTTTTTCTAATGAGAATGATGAGAATTGTAGCTCTGAAAAGAGCTGAAGCTGCAAAAAGACAACGGTTATGTCTAATAATGCTGTTTCACTAATAGAGATTTTAATTCTGATTCGGTACAATAAGAAAGATAAACAAGAATGAGAAACGGACATTCTAGCAGATTCTAAACGAAAACAGCAATCTGAGCATTATTAGACGAATAAAAATCAACACTTGTAAAATTTATATCAGATTCTAAGATCATTATTCATAGTTTTCCAAATTATGTGCAACTTTTTATTGAGAACGTAATTAAAAATTTGTATTCATAAACCTTAGCTTGCCTCAGCAACCTTGCTTGAATAGACATTCATACTTTATGAGAAGAGAAAAGTAGAACTCATGCTACGTGAAATTAGGTTAACGAGTAATCAAATCTCAAGCTATTTTATCATTTTTCAGATGATAAACTATGAATGCTGATCTAATTTCGACTCGGGTATGTCCTTACTTCGAGTAAGGTCCGTTAAAATCAGAAAAACCTTGCGTAATAATAATGACTCGAGGTACCTCGAATACCGTATATGATGTATCGCTGTCCACGTCTCTCGGCGCGCTCCGAATCCTCTCTCCATCCTGACTTCTCGATCCGACGTCCTCATTCTGGTTACTCCGTCGCAGCACCCCCGGATATTCCATCGTAGCACTGGCGACGACACTGACTCTAGCTCTAACACTCGCGCAAGTAAGATTCGGACAAAAAAACGCGTATTAACCGACACTCGTACTCTGCGTCGCGGTATGCGCGTCGTTCGTCGGCCCGAGGCGCAATGTCCTTTCCGCAATCACGGAGTCATGTATAAGCGTACGAAACCAAACAATCGGGAAGGCACGGTTACCCCCCACCAGTCGCTGACCTTGCCGATCAGTGTTGATACCTGCGTCGTCCGTTAGCTGAAAATGAAAACAACTCGTGTTTTCAAAGCATGCCTGTGAGAGACTCGCTTCAAACTTCACAATACTTATTTACATCTGTTCCAAGAATCATATTACGCCGAATTCAAACTATCTCTATTGACATGACATACGCGAGATCGGCGACCGCATCATTAATCTTTCTTTGGACAAGAAATTATATATTATAAGTTGGCGGTAGAGAATACCGAAGAGGTAAATAGCGAATAAACTCAACGGAAGATCCCCTAGAACAGTCTGGAGCAGGGTCCCCATTCTTGGAACGGTGCAAATATGAAGATGGAAAAATTAAATTAAATTAAACATACACAATTTCAATTCCTTTTCTTTTGCACATGTTAACATGTTAATTCATGTTATAAACGCGTAACAATGTGCGAGACCGTGCTTGTCAAGTAAGCTATTATGGTTGTAGCACGGACATAAATCGCCTAAAAATGAGTGTAGCACGGACTGCCACCACATACAGGTTTTACCGCCGAAACCTGAAAGTGGATGTAGCATCGTAGTTTTCCTCTCAAAATGGATGCAGATGGCGCCCTTTCCCACTGCGGAAAGTTGGTGTCGAAAACACCGTGTTGGCCGCTCTCACGTTCCTCTCTGGTAATAAGACAGTGATGGTATAATCTGATGCAATAACCGGATCGCTTCATTGCATCCTATTACACCCGACTGTATTGTAAATAAAATTGTGTGCTTTTAGTTTTAATGTTTATATTTTCTATAATCTTAGTTTGTAATTACGTATATTGTTATAAAATAGGGAAAGGAAAAGATTACTTGAAGTTATAGTTTTAGTATAAACAACACTCTGTAATTATCAAGGGGTTTGTTCTTTTTCGAAGAACTTCTGAACAGCAACTGCGCAGTTAGAGTGAGACAAAATATATCTATTTCACTCTAACTTATTGCACTACTTCATAACTGCGAAACAGAACTGACTTGACGAAAAACGAACTAAAAACGAACTCTAACAATGTCAAGTAAGAAGCAATCAAATGAAAGTGCAAAAGTTAAAAAGAAGATGAGGTGGGTCTGATTTTTGTAAATAAAAATATGGTTAATAAATGAAGGATGTAAAAGATAATATTGCAAAATCATACAAACCAATGTTATTAAATTGTTATTAAACATGAAACACATGTGCCATATGATGTCGAAAGAATTTTGTTGAGAGAGCTCTTACAATTTATGTGGATCATTAATTTGTATTTATCTGTAGGGTCATTTCTCTAATTTTCGATGTCAATTACATTAAGATAAATTTTGTATTACTCTTCTTCAACACAGTTAAATATATTTCAGTAAGGTTGAGATGCAGCAAGCCATAGTAAAAAAAAAACAGTGCGATGCAAAGGCTCTTGCAATAGTTGAACAGCTTTTAGAACCAAATATGGATTCTGACTGGCTTCTGCAAAATGTAAGTATGCTAATTATTACTTTCTAATTATGTATATAATGATGAACAATATGAATGATATATATATTATTTTTTAAATTTATAGTTACAATTTATAAATAAAGCACACTTGGAAGATGTAATAGAAGAAAGAGTTATCATAAAACTATGTGGATATGTTCTTTGTTCAAAACCATTAACTGTTGTTGTCAAACAACAATATCGTATATCAACACGTACAAATAAGGTATATGATATCAGCAAACGCAAAAACTTTTGCAGTTCATCATGTTATGGGGCATCTAATTATCTGCTTGAACAAATGCTTGAGAGCCCACTGTGGTTAAGAAGAAAAGAGGATATACCAGTTTTTAAAATTTTACCTATAAATTCTGTGCAGTCTTTACCTGGAGATGAAATTAATGTTGTTGGAAATAATTTCTTGCAAGATACAAATACTGACAATATTGGTAAGAGTAAAGAACTTCTAGAATTGAATACAAATAAACAAACAAAAGATCATCCATCACAAACTATATTAAATTCAGAGATAGAAAATTGTTCTTCAAATGATACAAATGTTGAAGGACATACTCAAGTAGAAGAGATTCCTGTAAATATTAATGCACAAAATCAGCATGAAACATACCCATTAGAATTATGTACTAATCAAGAAGATAAAGAGTATAATCCTCAAGAATGTACAAATCCTGAATATGAATATAGCGATCATGTTCAGAAAGAAGATGTAAAATTAGAGAATGTGGAAAAACACATTGCTGTCCAAATTAATAACAATTTACAAGAACAAATACAAGAACATATTAATAAAAACATAGAAAATGAAAATACAAATGTTAGAGTGATAAACAATAATAGTGATAGTGAAATATTATATCTGCAGCCGAATGACATAAGTAACACCGAAAGTAAAAACACTGATAGTAAAAAAATATCCTCTCAATTAGATGATGTAATTGATAGTAATAATGCTAAGGATGACAAAACTGTACAGTTTCAATTAGACAGAGCATGTAGTAAACAAAATATAACAATATCTTCCAAAACTAGTAATGAAGCTAAAAATAAACCTAAAAAAATAAAAAGCTCAAACATAAATAAAAATAAACATAGGCAAGAGGAATTTGATAATGCTGAAGTACGAACTAACATGTATCATAATCTTGTAATACATGTTGAGCAAAGCTTCAGAGAATGGGTTACAAAGAATACACTTTGTCTTCTACTGGGTGAGCAGGATGAGAAATCTCAATTATTAGAAAATTTGACACAGCGCGACAGGTATGAGCAGTTATGTAAGAAGTTAAATAGGTTGCAATTGCAAGATGAAAAGGAAGATCGTGCTGAATTGGCAAAAAATGCCCTAAAACCATTGCCTCATTTGTCTGTGCTTCAAGAAGAGGGCAAGAAAATAGAGCTAAAGGTATTGATCTCTTTAAATTTTGATTGAAGATATGTTTTTACTAAATAATCACAGTCGTGCAGTACATACATATTTTGTATCTATAGGTACGTGCGTTTTATAAAGGACAAATGGTAATTAGTGAGAACAATGGAAACAAATTGAAAAATCAAGATGAGCTTGAGGAGTCTATATTACCCTTAACAGATGCTTATGCACCCAATGCACTTCGGCGGCGAATTTTCTTGGATAAACTCAATAAAGTGTACGTTGTTATTTTAATATAATAATCATATATATTGAGGGATAATGAAAAATTCAAATCCTAATTATTATCTAAAGCCTCTGTTTCCTCACTGTGGACATCTTGATTGATAATGTCGAGATATGGGAAAATGCACACCCAAAATTTTAACAAAATGTGTTGGAATAGAAAATTATATATATATATATATATATATATATATATATATATATAATTATATAAAATAGCATTTGGTGTCGAAAATTTGTAAAATATAATGCTAGAAATTTCCTTTTGCTCCAATAAATAATAAATAGATAAAATCAATCAAGATGACCAGGGTGATGGACCAAGAGTCTTAACAGATAAGATATAATTTAATAATATGATTCAAACATTTATCATTAATTATGCAGATTACCAGATTTGCTGTGTGCTTTAACGCGATTACCAGCCAATACGAATACTTCTGTAACACAACATATTTGTATTAATACATACTCATTAATTAAATTATTGGTTAGCACTTTTCATTTAACCGCTAAAAACATCGTTTTTAATACTGCTGAATGGACACTGGTAGGACTTATCATCATTAAAATGTAAGTTATATATATAACTACAAAGTCAAATACATGAGTGTAAAATCTAAAAATACATAATTTCAGGTTGAGCCTAATTGACAAACAATTGCGATCGGTGCTCGAGTCTAAACAAGCTTCCATGTACATGTCGATGATTCTTATGTCTTATAAATTAAACTCAGGTTATTTAGATAGGCTCATAGTAGATGTAATAAACAACGAAAATATACACGAATCGTGTAATAAATAAAATTTATTGGGATAATGATATTTACATATATATTCTATTTTGTTTTACAACAGATTCAACTTTGTTAATATTTACTTTCCTCGTACATTTTAATATAAAATATTTTGTTAAAAATAGTTATAATACTGTTTACTATTTATAATATTATAATTATGTATCAGATCTTTGATACATGTTTGTATACGAGTGTAAGTCGATATATAAGTCGCAAAACCGAATAAAGAAAAAAATGAGTACCTGCCGGTTTCTTTATTATTATTTTTGCCACATAATCCTGCCAACACGAGCACTTGTTGGTTACGCAAACAACTGTCTACTTTCAAAAGCGGCCGGTGGCATAAATATATTTATTTCATTCTGGGCTGGTTGTTCCAACTTCTTGGTAAGTTAACTGATAGTTGGAACACTGGATAACTTGGAAGTTAACTGATATTAAATCAAATATTTGTCTTCGTTTTTCCTTCAATTTAGATAAAAATAGAGATATGATTTAACTATCAGTTAACTTACCATGAAGTTGGAACAATTGGCCCTTTGACTTATTGCACTACTTCAGAAGTCTTTCAGAAAAGAACAGATCTAAGGCATAATGATTGGCTGAATATAGCAATTCACCAGATAAATCTTTGCAAAGATTGGTTGTATCCAATTGGATATCTCCCATTACGATTTGCACCGCTGCATTCCGACAATAGTCTGTTTCGCACTTTTGCCATATGAGGTCACTAAAGTCAATTTGCTATTTATTCTTAGCCCTGTAGACTTTAAACTGCGCGCGAAAATTACTTGTAATTTATAAATTTTAGATACTTCGCAATATATTGGACATCGGTCGATTAGTTCACGATGGATGAGATGGTGGACGATATCCTGAACATGTTTAACTCAAACAAACCATTAAAAATAACAATGTCGTGTCCAGATCGAAGACGAGTAAAGAATGAACCAAGTATGTTTAATCAACGTAAGCAAAAGAAGACATTAGGAACGAATTATGCAAAGGAATACAAAGAAAAAGATGATGAGGAATATTTACAGGTAATACATACAGTTAGCACTGCATATGCGTGCAATAAGCCCACCAATTTCATGATCCTTGTTTTAACTATTCCTCATTCTCTTTCTACAGTTGACAAAGGATATCGTCTTCAATAAGAGAGATTGTATAGACAATATGTCAGATATTACATCCAAAGATTCTAATGCTGGAGGCTGGACCAATGTTTATGGAACTTATAATTTTGCTTATCGACCTAAGACTGATTTACCTATTCACGCTATTAAAGACAAGATTATATCTATGATAACTAATAATTCAGTCGTTATCATACGTGGTTCTACAGGCTGTGGCAAAACAACCCAAGTGCCACAGCTTATTCTTGATGCTGAGTTTGAAAACAAACGAAACTGCAACATCATAGGTATTCCAAGATTAAGTTATATTTGCTGGACATGTCTGAGAAATTGTAGGAGCTTATTGGCACTGAAATTATTTTTTGCTCAACTGAAAAGAAACCAATTCTATATTTTGCAGTTACACAGCCAAGACGTATCGCTGCTTTGAGCATTGCAAAACGAGTCAGCCAAGAAAGAGATTGGCCTGTTGGTACTATTGTGGGGTATCAAATAGGTTTGATCAAGAGTATGTGTGAGGACACTCGCATAACATATTGTACAACTGGTGTGCTCTTGCATAAACTTGTTAATAAGAAGCACATGATGGACTATACGCACATTATACTGGACGAAGTGCATGAACGCGATGAAGATATGGACTTCCTTTTGCTTGTTGTTAGAAAATTATTACGTACAAATTCCATGATGGTTAAAGTCATATTGATGTCCGCAACAATCGATGTAGATAAGTTCTCTGAATATTTTTCCACACCTATGGAAAATAAACTCCTACCAGCATCTGTCATTGACATACCAGAAGGAAGTCCATACAATATTTCTATATATTATCTGGACGAAATGGAAGTTGTGGGTTATGTGAGTATATACTTTCCAGGCGCAAACAAAATACTCAGATGCTTAGTAGGAACGAGTCGTGACGGGTTCTTTTTATTCTTAAAACAAAGATGGTTATTACTTATCTTTTTTGCTGAATTATGAATAATTTTTGAGAATTCTTTTGAATAGATTTTATTATTCAATAAGTATAAGTAGAAATATCAACAAACAATTGATCGTTCTCCTCCCTTTTCTTCTCATTATCTTGACCAGAAAATTTATCATTCCTCCGGACAGGTGCCTGTAATATCCGCGGACGAACCAAGCTTTACGTGCGCTATGATAGAATTTTGTATACGTATCATACACATTTTCGATCATATAGACAAGAAGAGCAACGACAAGGATGGTAGACAAAATATATTCGCCGTATTGATATTTTTACCAGGAATTCAAGAGATCGAGGAGTTGCGTTGCGCGCTCTCGTTAGATAAATATTCAGACATGAAATGGGATATAATTATTCTACATTCGTTGATCTCGACCGAGGATCAAGAGAAAATATTTAAAAAGCCATTCAAAGGCTATCGACGTATTATATTATCGACCAATATCGCTGAAAGTAGCGTCACCGTTCCCGATGTTAAATACGGTATGCATTTGTGTCTGCTGTAAATATCAATGAATTGACGAAGACGCTTAACTTCCATCTTTCCGCTTAGTGATCGACTTCTGTTTGACAAAAGTCCTCGTCACCAATCCTGGCTCCAATTATCAGTCCCTGCAACTTTGCTGGGCAAGCAAATCAAATTGTCAGCAACGTGCTGGTCGTGCAGGTCGTATAATGGACGGCAGAGTATACCGAATGGTACCGAGGTCATTTTACGAGGTGAGCATCGTTTTCACACGAATATGTGAAATCATCGTAGCTCACACAAAGCTACAATGAAATAAAAATGAAGCAGGCTACAAGTCACATCATATTATAAAGGATGAGGCATCTAAACCAGGCCACCTGAATAACTTTAAAAATATGCAAGATAAAAAAAATGTTAAATACAAAAATTGTAGGGTTTTAAGTGACGCATCATATAGCAATACTAATATGACCTTGAATGCTGACCATCTTTTGACAAGGTCTGTACAAGGTCATACTAATATTGCTATGTAATGCGTCTCTCTCTCTCTCTCTCTCTCTCTCTCTCTCTCTCTCTCTCTCTCTCTCTCACTCTCACTCACTCACTCACTCACTCACTCACTCACTTAAAACCCTGCAACTTCTATATTTAACATTTTTTTCCATCTTGCATATTTCCTAAGTTATTCAGGTGGCCTTTTTAGATGTTTCATTCTATATACATCATAAATGCTTTTCGAATTTTATATAATCATACACATCTATAAGTTACCGTTTATAGAGATGATTAATTTGCAAAAATAACTCGGCGAAATCAATTTACATGATGTAACAAATGTGACATTAACAAAATGCAAGACTAGTCTCTATTAAACGAAATTATTGAAATATGGCATTATCTCGAGAACACTGTAGACCGTGCTGGACAAGGACGCCGTGCCAGAAATGCTCAGGACTCCATTGGCGAATGTAATTCTAAAAACCAAGATGTTGGATATGGGTGAACCAAAAGCGCTTCTTGCTCTCGCCTTGGATCCGCCGGACCTTAGCAACGTGCGAGACACCATATTGCTGCTGAAAGAGATCGGCGCCATCCTCAATACGACCGGTCACTCGGAATTTGATGGAGACATGACACCTTTGGGCCGGGTGATGGCCTCTCTTCCGTTAGATGTACACCTGACGAAACTGATCGTGCTGGGCCACGTATTCGACGTTTTGCAGGACGCGATTATCATCGCGGCCAGTATGTCCGTGAAGAACATGTTCAACATTGGAGTCTGCAAGAGGAACTCGACGTATTACGAAAAGCTCGAGTGGGCCGCCAACTCCGCCAGTGATAGCATAACTTACTTGAATGCCTTCAAGGTATGGCGGAACGACAAAATGAATCGCCGCATAACCAGCGCTTTCGGTGAGAGGGAATGGGCACGGCAGAACGGCCTACGCGTGAAGTCGCTGCGCGAGATTAACGCCCTTGTGTCTGACATCACGTCCAAGTTGCGCAAATTTGGTATCAAGGACTATGTAAGCGGCAACAAGCGCCCCTGGAAGGACTACCGCATCAATCCCGTCATCATCCTCAAGATCATTATCGCCGGTGCTTTCTATCCCAACTACTTCATCAAGATGCCCTGCGACATAGCGAATCGCCGAAAAGCCATAGAGAAGTCGCTGCCCCAGCGAGACCCGCGGAAGACCGTCTTCCTGCACGGGTGGCCGCTCAAGCAGCCTGGGCCGTTATATGCCAAGCGATTCCAAGAGATCTTTGCGCAGTACATGCAGCTGCAGGATCCTGATGACATTACGGTGTCTTTCGATGGCTCGAGCCGAGTTTACATCGAATATGACAAGGACGATCAGTCAGCCGACGATTACACCTTCGTGCGGAGTGCCATCAAGATGAGGCAGAGTCGCGTGCCGATCGAGGTGGATCTGCTGAGCGAGAACGAGGCTTCCAGTCAGGCGGATGAGCTCGAGCTCATGGACGTGTTCGAACGGACGACTTCAGCGAAGGCGTCGGACCCGGGTTGGACGATCAAGCTGTACAACGAGAAGCCGTACCCCGAGTTACCAGACCCGGACGATTGCAAGACAAAGGTGACGTTATATGGCCCATCGTCACCGTTGGAGGCTCAGCTGACACACATGACGGACTCGGGTATGTTAAAGAAGGTGGTGTTGGAGGGGATGTCGGTGAATTCTGTTTTGCTGGACACTTGCCCGGAAAATCCGAAGGAGCTCTTCCTGGTGGCGGAGTCCATCCATATAAAGCAACGGAACGTGGAACACCTGGTCCTACGGAATACGACCCTCCTGCCAGACACGCCCGGCTTCGCGTCCTTGATTATCTTGATCTTCACGCCGTACATGGAACTGAGACGCGATCCTCTGGGCACTCATTACACCGGCGCCCTGTGCGGGCTAGGATATGACTACACTACGGGGTTGAGTTTGTTCCCGGAGCACGATCTGCAAAATATCTTCGACGTCGAGATCACGATGGACGACCTACGAACGGTGTGTATGCAATCCCTACCCCGTCGATATTTCCAGATCTCCCAATAGAGAGTGTCTGTTCGTTTTTGAACAATTTCTGAATCTCAGTGCGATCAGACTGATCTTTGTAGCTGAACCAGTACACTTTTGGAACTTGAAAAGAAACAAGTACATAGCTGTGACTTGACGTATGTTCTTCTTTGAATAACCTCCTGGTGCAGTAAGTCAGAGTGAGTCAAGTATATCTTATTTCACTCCAACTTAATATACAAATTCAGAAGCCCTTCGAGAACGAGCAGACAACTTTGATGCAGAAAAGAGGGAAAAGAGAACTACAAGCTAATGCGGTCAGCTACAATGAACAGACCCGTTTTCTTTTCGCTCCTTTTTCAAAGAATTTCCTCGATCATGCGGCAAGTTCGAGTGAAACAAGAATATACTTGCCGCTTTAACTTATCGCAGCAGTATGTGCCAATTGAGGAAATCTTTCCAAAGAGAACAAATTGCAGCTGATCGCACTAGTTGAGCAGTTCGTCGAATACGAAGAGACCTATCGCGACGTTCACGAACCTCCCGTTCCGCGAATGTCGGCAGATTAACAAGCTGCGCCACTGGATGAACGTCGCTATGCACTTCGTCGAAGGCGTCGACGAGGAACAGCAGAGCGAGCTGACCATAAACTGCCAGAACCAAATTAAGAACGCGATCAGCGATGTGATATACAAGAGCCGGCAGACGCAGGTGCCGATCTTGAGCACTAATTTCCACAAGTGGAATCTCTACGACGAGACTCTGTTCCTGGAGCCCGCTCGGGGGACCACCAGGAGGAACTGCGTGTACAGCTTGCACAAGGCATTGGACCTGAACAAGAATAACCCTGAACTCGAAGAGATCATTAGGAATCTGCTGGAGATGGACGCCTTGGCTCACGAGTACGTAAACGTATCATCGTCACGCGATTCTCTCGGCAAATCGCCGCTCTGCCGGTCGTAGTTTCAGTGCTGGAGCAGAATGTTCACCCAGACGCTCCGGTTGTCAATAATTAGAATGTTATAAGTGATAAGAAGCATTAAATGGAAAATCTTGGAAATCTTTCAGGCGTCTCTAAGACGTGTCGGGCCGCTTTATGCGCTATCTGGGTGATAATTCGCATAGCGACATTAATTATTATCCGTTATTAATAACGGATCACGAGTACACGATTAATATTTTTCATACTCGGCTCTCCCGCAGGGATCCACGCGAAGCGACTATTGGGCCAGTGGTCTGCAAACTGTGCAATGCGGAAATACAAGGCATCATCAGCCTTCGCATTCATCTGTGCTCGGAACTACATAAGATACATGTAAAGCAGGTAGACACGACCACCGAGTTCGGGGAAGATCTGCAGAGTCTTTTGAGGAACATGAGGTTGTAATATTGTCGAGCGAGCGAAACGTATGACAAACAAGTCTGTCCTACAGATGCTGATCGATATTCGACTGATATATGTGGTACTTTTTTCTTTCTACCTTTATTAGCATTTTCTTCGAGTTGAAAAAGTAGGATAGTATCTAGGATCGAGGATTATCCTTTTTTTTATCAGCGGACTGCTACTCGAAAGAAGGATGTTGGTTTTTAGGTAAAATTCGCCGGCAAAAAACTATATTTCTCTATATTTTTATCCTTTTTCATTTAATGTTGTTTTTTTTATTACTGACATTCGCGTATACAAATATAAGAAGTACTTTAAACTTCAGCTGAAACTAAAATATTGATTTAATCTATGTAGCGCTTCGGAAATATGTGATAATATGACAAAATTATTACGTAAATACGTAATAAGCGAAAGCTTCGTCTATAAATAAATCATTATGTTAGCAATTAGTCAAAGGTCACTGGACGCAATGAAGAGAGAGCGTTGTTAAACGAGAAGAGGAATAATTTTTTTTTATACTTTTTCTTTCACTTAGTAATTGAGCACGAATTTTTTATATGGGAATAAATATTCATATATAAATAAATATATTCAAGATTAGTTTTTATCGCATTCGCTGCCAGCGTCACACATGCATGACACACCGATCTTTCCCAGGAAACTAACGGCGCATATACGTGACAGCGATGATTCTTTTTCTTATCTATGCTCACATTAAACAAATTAATCCTGATTTACTGATTATGCTATAGCATAAAAAATATAGCGTGAACTATCGGAGGGCTTCCCCAAATGAACCGTAACGATGTTGTACTATACAAAACAACAAACTGTCAGAGTGCAGATCCAATTCCTGAAGTCGAAGAGAAGAACGTGACTTTATACTTCCCGTTGAAGATACCGAGTACCTGGTTGCGTGTACAGAAGTCTACCAGTTACGTTGGCGCCTGAGCCGCTGACGTAGGTACCAGGAGGTGGTGGCGGGTAAGGACCAGGCGGTGGTTGAGGCGTTCGTACGGGATAACCCGAGGTGATCCCACCAGTTTTCGCACCCTGCACATTTTTTTCGTAAAAATCAACGCTGGAAGATTGCAGACACACACTGATAACGTGGGCTATTATCACGATAAAACATTGCACGGCTTGTGCGAACAAATTGAGTAAAAAAATCGAATTCTTGTCATTTGAAAAGCTCTCTGCCTGTTTCGTCAGAATATAACGGAGTATATTTCTACATCAGTTTTGCCTGACAATGTTATCACTTCTTCGCACATCCTGCACAAATAATAGCACAAGGTCAATAATGAAGCTGAAGAGGATGACCTGAGGCGGTTGTTGGATCGGAATAGCACCACCATGAACAGTGACGTGATTTGTCGGCCGTAGGTAAAATTTGTCCTCGCCGTAGGCTCCTTTGTGCTCCATCGAGTGTAAATTAGTCATATATGCTGCAAAGTATAACTCCTTGAGCAAAAAGTTGACGAGATTTCTTGTAGCAAATATCTGCACCGACGAAATGTTCATTTATTCGGCTTCACGAGTAAAACAGCAAATCTAACAGGGAAGTATGTGGAAACCTCTCCCCGTCTTTGACGAGCTTGAAGTCGTGTCATATAGGATAGTTTAAAATCGTAACGACGAGGTTGATGCTTGGGCTATTACCAGTCTGATGCGTTGCTAACGGCGCTCTACCTCCAGAAAGGTAAACCGGCTTAGTCGGCTCCGAGGATTCTCGGGACGGTTGGGTCGCAGGCGCGGAATAGCTGTAAACGCTCTGGCCCGTGGGCGCCGAGTAAAAGTTCGATGCGGAGTACTGATTGCTTTCTGACAAGTGGAGAAAAATATATAAAATATGAGTGACACTTTGTACATGTGCGCTCGCGTGGAAGAACACGGCAAGCGACTTGGTTTTTGATTTCTTTCGCCAAGGAAGCGAAAGGCATACAAATGCGCGAAATGAAGTTTCTTCACTTACTGTTCCAGAGGACAGCTCGAGAGTCGCCAGATCTCCTAGCGGCGTCCTCGGATTCTGTATGGAAGCAAGCGGTAAGATACGACGTACTACTTGTCGAACACCGGCCTTACAACTTGAGAAATGGTTTCAATGGGAGACCAAAATACCAAAATGGCAAGGGACATCATTGATTCCTGCGATACTGACGCTTCCGCCGAGCATACAAACTACCCATACAGACACGAAGATATAAAATTCTTTAATCATTTTCCCTCTAATATAGCACTTGAGATATTAAAAGAGCATTATAATAAGTGTTGATTGAAAATCTTGCAATTTGCTCATCAAGAAGTCAAATGATATATACTCACTAGGAGGTGGAGGGTTGTAATTTGGAATGGATGGTGGTGGTTTGTAACCGTACGCACTATGATACGGTGAGGCGGCAGGTGGCGGTGACGGGCTGTGCGGCCTTTTTAAAGATCCCTGGAAGTAACACAAAAGTATGCAACACAAAATGTATAAACATAGGAAACTAGAGTTCCTATACAGATAATCCAATAAAGTATCATACACTCGGAAGCAGATGTGTTGGTGCGCTGACTGCAACCTTGTAGAGAGGGCTATTGCTGCGTGGTAATGGCAAAAATAGTTGGGGATGTACTACTCTTGGACCTGCTGTCTGATATCCTCCCACCGTTGTCAAAACTTCCGAACAGATGCTGAATATAAAAATACCAATACGCAGTGTTGTGCGCAGATGATTTTAAAATTAGCTAGATCAAGATGATACATCAATGAGGATCAAAATTTCATTTCAGATAAGATGAAGATGATTTAATTTTAAATTTATCTAGGTAAAAGATGAAGTTAGAATACAACAAACACAGCCATTACGTCATCTTTGTTACTTTTGAATGTTGTTCTAAATGTTATGAGACAAACCTGGTTTCTTTTACAAGCTGTCGTCTTCTATATTCATCTTCATTTAGAAGGACTTTTTTTAATTGTAGAAACAACTGATGCTTCTCTTCCTTTAGTTCTTCAAGTTCATTCTGCAAGTTTGAGATTTGTTCTCGAGTTTCACCTAGGGTCATCACATCTTGCTTCTGTTGACGTTCTCTTTCCTTGCGCAAACGTTCTTCCTCTGCATCTGCCTCCTGTTCTACAGTGCAACGAGATGTAAAGTATTAGTTGAAGTGCTCTGATAAACTCAATATTCAGATTTGAAAAAAGAATAGACAGAGAAAGTAAAAGAGAAAGAAAACGAATAAAGGGAGAAAACAGAGAGAGAGAGAGAGAGAGAGAAAGAGAAAATAAGATGCGACTGTAATGAAGAGAAATCTTTGTTAATTAGGTTAATTAGGTTACATACCTTGTTTCTTTCGTTGCCGTTCTCTCGTAATATGCGATTTTAACGCTTGCCACATTTGTTCGTTACGTTGAGGCGGTCCAATCAGTATCGCCGGCATCTTCTCACCCTGATGGTTCTTTGCAACGTTGTGTGACAGTATGTAACGTTGGTTAAGTCAACTCGTTTTGCTATCACGATCTTTGCGGTCGTAACCTCAGCTTGCGTTCCACGATGGGAAAACGACGTTAACCGATCTATTTGAGCGGAGAAAGAGCGTCGGAGACAAGGTCAAACGAATTGCCTACCACTTGGCATCAAGGAGCCTATTTTTCTATGTTCTTGAAATGGTAGAGAATACCGAAGAGGTAAATAGCGAATAAACTCAACGGAAGATCCCCTAGAACAGTCTGGAGCAGGGTCCCCATTCTTGGAACGGTGCAAATATGAAGATGGAAAAATTAAATTAAATTAAACATACACAATTTCAATTCCTTTTCTTTTGCACATGTTAACATGTTAATTCATGTTACAAACGTATAACAATGTGCGAGAGACCGTGCTCGTCGAGTATGCTATTATGATTGTAGCACGGACATAAACCGCCTGAAAATGGATATAATACGGACTGCCAGTACATGTAGGTTTTACCGCCATAACCTAAAAGTAGATGTAGCATCGTAGTTCTCCTCTCAAAATGGATGGAGATGGCGCCCTTTCCCAGTATGGAATTCAGTGTCGCCGAAAACGCGGTGTTGATCGCTTTCAGCAGAGAGTAACGTGAGAGCGGCCAATACGACATTGGTTGCGTTCAGCAGAGAAAGCTGCTTTGCAACTGTTGTAAAATTCATGAATCTGATTGGAGTATGCTCTTAATTTTGGTTGAATCCAAGAGCATGTACCAATCAAATTCACGAATTTTGCAACAGTTACAAAGCAGCTTTCTCTGCTGAACGCAGCCATTTCTGCGACTTTCCGCACTGGGAAAGGACGCCATCTGCATCCATTTTGAGAGGGGAACTACGATAGTACATCCACTTTCAGGCGGTTTATGTCCGTGCTGCAATGACAGTTGCCATCTCTATGTCAGATTATGCCCGGTGGTCTAAAAAGAGCGGGAGAGAGGGGGGGAGGAACACAAAAAATAAAAGTACGTATTAAATGTTAAATCTTCGAATATATATTGCCGTATCAAAGTCTCTTCTATAATAAACAATTTGACATGTATGGAGACGCATGATGTATCGTTGTCCGCGTTCCGTTCACTTCGTCTTGTTTTTTAATTCAGCATCCCATCCGCTCCGGACATTCGCTCGTGGCATTGACAGTGGCCGTCGGTGAGCATTCGATCCGCTCGGAGGAGCACGTGTTATTCAGGTAATTAACGTGACGAGACTCCGATTATAAATATCCCGCGAGTCGACGAAATATTTGAACTTTTAAAAAAAAGCATCAAAGAAAATCATGTTAATGTTGTCATGGGTAAAATCTCACCCCGGTATATATTTTCTCATTTTCGAAATAAAAAAAGCCAAACGAATGCAATTAAATGTTATTTATCATCATTGAATATTAAATGAAAAGTAGAAGAGTTATTGTCCGCAGCGGATAATCTCCCTGTATAAAATGTCGAACTGAAACATATTAAAAAGTATTGACATTTTGAATACGTCTGAATTCTGCTTTCTGATCCGAAGAAAGGGAAAATAAAAAGTATTAGTTCCCATTAAATTTCACTGCGCTAAATGCGAGATGGCAGTAGTGAATGCTTCGCATTAACAAGGATTCAATTCGTTTCAAATATGCCTTGCGTTCAATCGCAATCGATAATTTTTAAATGCGAACTTTCGTATTGAAAAATATTCACTTCTTCTCCTAATCGTTTTCGGATTCAGAGGCATACAAGATTTTCACGTTCTATACTCCGTTGCATTAAAAAGTATTCACCCGCGATACAATCTGAGAGCAGAATTCACGACAAAATCTCGTGAATGCGAAACAATACTTTTAAATACGATATTTTATACAGGACTAATATTTAATAAGAGCGCGACTAAATTCGCATAGGATGAAATTCCATTCTTTAACGCTACCATGACCTTTAATTATTCTCTGAAAACGGCGTCACAACAACTTACACTCTGTTGCTAACACTCTTAGTTGCTAACACATTTTCTAATCGTATACATTCCTCTTTAATTAACATAAAGCTAACAAATGTCCGATGCTTCGACAGAGTAATTTTCTTTATTTTCAGTAATCAATAAATAGAGTGCATCAATGTCGCGTACAGTTGAAAGGCCTCCTCGCATTCCCCTCGTCGTTCCGAAACCTTCGAGAAAACAAGAGACGCTGAAAGGCAAGTCTCTCTTGCTTCAACCGCCGCCGAGGCCCGCAATGTTTACATCGCGCCGATTGTGTTGATCGGCTCGCGAGCGACGACACTTTTTGCCCTTCGTATTATAATACTCGCGCACCTCATGTATTCGACTTTATTCCATCAGCAGCAGCCGTGCGCGACGCTCTCGTCACTTCCGTCTCGTGTAATTAAAAGAAATATATCTCGTCGGTCCTCGAGATACTCAATCGGCATCGCGTCGGCATCTCATTCATTAACTGCACGGTCGAATCGCGAGTATCAGCATTAGAAGCGTGAGCGAGTGAAATCCGGAGGACTTCAGCAGTCGAGAAGCAGAACGCCGGCAGCGATACGTCACGTTTCCAGGTATGTGGAATCATTTATTACGCGGGAGATCTCCGATAACGAGAGCGTACGTTTGACGAATTTTCCGGGAATAAGAAGTCGGAATTTCGCGCTCGGCATTCACAATCCGTCATCATCCGACTAGTAATCATCATCATTTATGAATTTGCAATTACTCTCGTCAATTTCTGTCTGTCTATCTATTTATTGCGTTGTTGTATACAAAAGATATTGATCCAGACAGAGACGGATAACGGTCTATGGACGTGGATCTCGAATTCATCATGTTCTCAATCAAACATTCTGAATCATTCCCAATGCCTGTGTGAGAATATTGGTCTTATATAGAATATTCAACGTCATATCGCTTCTTAGACTGCGACCTTTTTTGTTTTCGGTCAGCGCTTCTTTCAAGTTTGTTTACTCTTGTTACGGGATCTGAATTTAAATGTCCATCCGTAAAAGAATATTTTCGAGAGCACACAACTGTTGTCTCCGCTTCTTATTGTCATTTTCTTTCGTCAGCTCTTTCAAGAGCTCCTATCTAGACATTCAATGTCAATAAAGAAAAAAAATCGTAGCGAATATTCTCCACTCATCCCGACCAACCATTTTTTCTCTACCGCAGCTTACCAACCAAGAACGCTAAATTTTTGTTCCAGACGTTGCGGGAAGCAAGTCCGGCGGACGCGGATGCCGCACCGGAGGATCCGGTTCGGGCAGAGCAGGGTCGGCCGGAAGGTAAAGTTTACAAGTTTCCTACACATCTGTGTTCAACTCTTTACGATCTTTGCCTTTGTAACTTGTTCCTCATCAGCTCTCTTGAAAGCTTCAAGTCCCATTTAAATTTTCAATGTTGGAACAAAAATATAAAGATAAAAATTCCGTATCAAAATATATCCGTATTTTCGATTGGTCCCGATCAAAGATATTCTCTCTCTACCGCAGGTTATCAACCGAGAAAATTATTTTTCTGTTTCAGTTGTTGCGGAAAGCAACAGCAATCCGATGGACGCGGATGCCGCACCGGAGGATCCGGTTCGGGCGAAGCAGAGTCGGCTTGAAGGTAAGTTTACAAGTTTACTATAGTCCTCTGTTTGATCCTTGGCGATCTAGAGCTGGGATATAATTTCCGGCTCGACTTGAATTACGATCGCAGAGGGTAAACTACTCTTTTACTCGCCCGCACTCGTTGGTCAAATTTGATGAGCAAATGTGAATTTTTTGTTACAGAGTTGAAGCGGAACGTGGCCGGCTCTGACTGCAAGTCGTTTCGGTGAGTCAAAATGAAAAGAGAAACAAAATTCTGCATGACGGATGTGGGACTAAAAAATATCGTTCGAGTCAATGCGAATTGCAAATAGATACTTGCATGTGTGTATTTGTGACGTTGAATAAAATACATTGCTCGAAACAATCAGGGGATTACTTGATCGATAGCCTGCATTACATACAAGATTTAAAATACTGAATGATTCTCTTTTGATGTTCAGTCATCTGAATAAGAGAATATTCATATGTACAAACGCGACACCGACATCAGCTGCTTTATTTTTATTTTTCAAGCGGGCCGCAGAATTACTTAACGATTTAATTATTTGACAATATTCAATTGTCCGTATAAAATATATTCATACCTAAATGCCGATATCGTTAGCTACTTTTCTTTTATTTGCAAAACAGGCTGTAGAATTATTTGGCAATATTGTCCATTCATCACAATCCCTATTGTCTCGAGTAGCGTATAATGCGCGTAGAAATTGCGCCAGCGCACGCCGAGCTTGAGGTATTCTCGCTCGCGTGCCTTTGAATATCGCGATCGCAGTTGTCAATATACGCGTTTTTACTCGCATTGCTAACAAAGAAAACTTAAATTCTCATTTCGCCAAAGTATCGCGAACGTAAGCTTCGTCATGACAGAGCTATAATGCGTGAAAACTTTGCCCCGCTCCTCTCTCTTTGCGCTCCCTAAGGGGGACCGGTTTCTGATTGTCTAATCTTTCCTCGCGTGCATTCGCGTCGCGAATATTTCACTCGTAGATATCGATAATCCCACATTTTCGCGACTTTTCAGACGCAATCGCAAAAAGCACCGTAAAAATCCGTTGGACGAGTCAATAAATTTTCAAACGGTTCTTACTCCTCCCCGATCGAGTTTATAGAGTCCGTTTCGCAGCGCGCAAAAAGTTTCCACCGATGGCGAGTAAAACGTTCGTTAATTGATGTAAATATCGCCGTTCTAATACGGCGTATCGACCGCGTCGCGGAAGTGTGATGAAAGTGTAGCGATCACCGTGGGACGAGCTGCAAGATGGATGTTGTTCATGCGCGACATGGAGAGCGGCAGCGGACATGGGCGGACATTGGTGGATCTGGTTGGATGCAACAGGACATCATCAATATCATCATTGGTGAGTGTCTGACTCAAAGCTCGCAGAAAGAACTTTTATTATTACTTTATTATTACTTTTATTATTACATTGTGCATGCCGCAAATTTGCATTGACTCTTGTAACGAAAAATATATTCCATGAATTATTGTCCTATATTATTGCCATATATTGTTGCCACATATTGTTGCCATATATTGTTGCCATAAATTGTTGCCATATATTGTTGCCGTATATTATTACCATACATTATTCCCATATATTGCCATGTATTCTCGCCATATATTATGGCCACTTGAAATCGCGCGAGCAATCAAGAAAACTGAATTTATCGGTAATCGCAAAGGCGCGGCAGACGTCACAAATGGATGTTAGCAGCCGGTCCCAGGGTTGACCAA